TACTACTGATAAAGCTAAATATAGCCTTTGTAGTTGTGATTTCAAAACTACTTCACTTAATATGAGCTTGATTTTAGTACAGACTATTGAGGAACCATTTTTATAACTGTTACAAAATCAGAAATCTACAAAATCAGTAATTTGTGTCAGAATTCCTAAGATCTTACAGGTTTGGTGGTATTTTAGTTTCATTACTTGACTGAGATGGTACTCAGGGTATGTTGTTTGATTGAATAGGTCCACTGAGAATAAATCTTCTTACTCTCTGTACAACCTCTTCATTAATGCAATCAAGTATTTGCAATAGGCAGCTACCATGCATGCACACATCACATGGAAACTTCATGCTTATGGGTTGATTGTCCCTATAAAGCTGAAAACTCAGCAATTAAAAAGCCTGATGCCAACATTTGGCAAGTACACAAAAAGCTGCTGAAGCAAAAGCTGCAGTATTGAGAATATTACCCTTCTCAGGAATCTGCTGGAGACACAGCTTTATTTCTGGAATTAGAATATGACCAGAGCAATCTGACAATGCTGCACAAATTAAATTAGGATGTGATATGGTTTGGGATATGGCTGTTGCTACTGATTAACTGTTTAACACTTAACCTCTAAGGTAAAGTAGGGGATATTCCAGTTAGTATATAATAAGCACTATGTTCCTTATAAACATATGAACATTTTCCTTACTGAATTTACAGATTAGAAGTAAGCCATCATTTTAACTCCAGCTCTTTTCTAAAAAAAAAAGGAGTATTTGCCTACATTCCTTGCTAGATATACTTTTACAAAAATAATTCCACTCATACAGATATAAAAATTCTAAAGGGAAAACATTACATGAGAATGCCTTAGTATTCCTTTGACTGAGACTGTTTAGATATAATTTCTCTGACTTTATACTGTAGTAGTCACTTTATCTGTTCCTACATCTTCAGTCCTTGAGATTGCTGTGCGCCTTTGACCGAAGACATTAAATCTAACTAAATCTAAGCTACACGTGACTGTAATGCTGAAAGCAGGAAAACCAAGAGAAGGGGGTCTACTGTGAACTAAGCTGATCAGCAATCTCATACGTGTAAGCCAGGTTTGATCCACAGCACAAAGCTCACCTTCTGTTTACACTGAGCCTGACAAGCAAAGTGAAGAAGCAGCAGAGGAAGAATTATCTCACCTAAATTAGACCTGTGTAAGTAGCATCTGTTCAGTTTAAAGTTAATATCTAAATTCAACAGAGTCACCATTTTTGATGGTAAGTCATCCACCTTAATTCTAACTCAATGAGTACATTACTGGCACCTTACTTGCACCAGTTCTACAGAGGCAGATCAATGACAAGTTTAAAATGGATTGGTTCCCTCTAAGTGGTGGAATTATGTGAGATGAATCCCACCTTTCCTGACTGCTTTATTACATTGACACATAGGGGAAGTAGTGCAGCCAAAACCCACCATAATCTTTCTAGCTTCTGTCATTACAGACCATAACATAACACCACACTCTTATGAAAATAGTGAATTCAGTTAAACCAAGGCTATGTCTGTAGAAAATAGAAACATGAAATGCCTCCTGATGCTTTTCATTCTTAATATTCACAGACGTTAATATTCATGGATGTTATCCCATGTATGCAGTAGTATTATATCTCCTCTGCCTCCCAAAGGAACTGCTTCTCTTTTTGCTGGATCTTCTCTCTGCGGCTGCTGTAGGTATTCTCTTCCCACTGACAGCCTTCGGTGCTTCCAGCAGTGCAAGGGAAAAGCCAGTGTGAAGCTTTCGCATTTGCAAAACAAAAGCTGAGGTTTGACAGATCAGTAGAGCTGGCAGACTTCTGGTTTACTTCCAGCACTCTTGAGTTTATCAGCAGACAGGAAAATAGGTTAGGCACATAATTTACAGAGCTACTTCTAGCTAACAGTAATTCATGTCTGTAGTTGGTTCCATAGGGTACTTTGCAATCCCTAATTAGCCTTTTATATCAGCTCTGTTATATATAGTGGCTTTGGTGTGAGTTAGTTATATCATGCCAAATTCAATTAGCCTGTGAAAAACAAGGAAGTACCTGTAAGAAGCAAGACTGCATGCATGCAAAATAATCCCTAACTCATGCACTTCAGCCAAAAGCTTCTGACTGAACTGAGAGAGATCTCTCTTGCTGAACACCTGATCAATGTCTCCAAAGGAGCGATGAAGCAAAAGCAGATGCGTTACATCCACGTAAATATTTAATATACACTGATGGATTTTTCTTATTAAGATATTCAACCTGCAACAAGATCAGTATGCTTTTGAACAGTCCTACAATAACAGACGTGTGATCCACACATCATTTTCAAGCATCACTGAAGGCAAATGTTAGTGCTTCATGACAAATGAGGATTCCCCAGGGACTTCCAGCGGTAAGCAGCAGATTTAAAAGAGCCTTCTGAAGGCTGTGAGATGGAGTGAGTATTTCTGGATGTTGTCATTTTCTGAAATATCTGTAATATGGTTGTTTTAGTAACTTCTTAATTTCTGCTGTTCTTTCACTGGAAGAAGCTGATTCAAATGATGACCCCTGAAATTATCCAGAGAGACCTTGCACTAGAGAGCTGAATTCTTTTTTAGAGGAAAAGTTATATTTCTCTGTTCAAACATTGAACCTAACTGAGAAGCTGAGTCAACACTCTCGGAGCTCCAGCTGAACTCCATCCTTTCTGCATCTACACAGCTTACAGTAACAGCATTAATTAGGGTAAGTTTTAAAGTGCTAGACTCATAAATTCACCTTGTGAACTTGCAACACAGCCTGCAATCTTAACACAGTTATATTGCAGAATGAGCCAGGATGAAGTAAATATGTTTTGGTCAGATGAAAAGTCTTATTCATGTATACATGTTATAAAACCAAATAAAGAAGAGTGTCTGTGGTTTCCAACGACTGCAGGAAATTCACATTTCATAAGACTGTTCAGAATCATGAATGAGCAACAGTGCAAAAAAGCTATAAAATATATTGCCATTAATACTTTCAGTTAGAGAAGCTGTTAATATTTAAGTTGCATCAGAAGGACTGTGACGAGCAGGTCGAAGGAGGTGATCCTGCACCTCTACTCTGCTCTCGTGAGACCTCACTTGGAGTATTGTGTGCAGTTCTGGTGTCCTCAACAGAAAAAGGACATGGAACTGTTGGAACAAGTCCAGAGGAGGGCCACGAGGATGATCAGGGGACTGGGGCACCTCTCATATGAAGATAGCTGCTGAGAAAGTTGGGGCTGTTCAGCCTGGAGAAGAGAAGGCTGCATGGAGACCTCATAGCAGCCTTCCAGTATCTGAAGGGGGCCTCTAGGGATGCTGGGGAGGGACACTTCATTAGGGACTGTTGTGACAGGACAAGGGGTAATGGGTTAAAACTTAAACAGGGGAAGTTTAGATTGGATATAAGGAGGAAGTTCTTTACCGTAAGGGTGGTGAGGCACTGGAATGGGTTGCCGAAGGAAGTAGTGAATGCTCCATCCCTGGCAGTGTTCAAGACAAGGTTGGAAGGAGCCTTGGGTGACATGGTTTAGTGTGAGGTGTCCCTGCCCATGGCAGGGGGGTTGGAACTAGATGATCTTATGGTCCTTTCCAACCCTAACTATTCTATGATTCTACGATTCTAAGTTGCTTCTTAAAGTGTAAAAACTTGCAGCTGTCACTTGAACACATGTGAAATGAGGACAAAGCAAGCTAAGCACTAACAGGAATATTTTATCAAATAATAAAGTTTGTTCACAGTAAGAAGGCTTTGAAAATTCCTGTCTTTTTGAATGATGTGTGACCAAAAAATAAGACATGAATGGGAATTTTTCATTTTGGGGTAAAAGAATCCATACTAGGACCAGGGGGAGGGGAAGGGGGTGGTGTTCTGTTGGTTTTGTTGTTTTGGTTTGATGGAAGGGGGGGGGGGGGATTTGGAAAAAAAACGACCCAGTAACTACAAATCTGTGCACTTGGGAGTTTACCTGGTACCTTTTTTCCTTCTCTCCCTGAAAGAATAAACCTGAACACTTTAAAATTGCAGAGTGTTTTATTATTTAGAAACATTGCTGAGAAAGTGAATTAATTAAAAGACTAAATTGAATAGAAAAAAATACAGATTGTATGTCGGATGATAGTAAAAACACTGGTTGGGTGGAAATGGGATATACATGGAATATTTAGTAACCGCACACAATAGAAGAACCCAGATTTTGTGCATACATTACATTGCTTGCATACCTTAAGTTCTTATGGGCTTCAGATACTTGAAAATAAAACTTTGCTTGTAGTGTTTAAACTTCGTTTTCTTTCAAAAGTTTCACTTTTTCCCCCCGTGTTTATATTTTCATGTATTATTCAGTGAATAATCCAATTCAGTGATTTGCAGAACATTCAGAACAGTTTTTTCTGGACGACAGGGAAATTAAAGGATGGTGAAATAAAAACCAGAGAGGACTGCTCGCTGCTTGTTTCCTATGTTTATGCAAATACACACTGAACACCTTTTTTGAGTTTTATGTCTGTGTATATACGGTTTATATACGGTCACCTTACTTTATGGCAGTGTGGTTACTGCGGCCACCTGCCCTGTTCCGGGCCCGCCGGGTCAGATGGGCAGCTTCTCACCATGACCACCACGAGGAGCAGGTTTTAGAAAGCAGATTTGCTGCTCTGCACTTTTCCCCAGTTACGACTCGAGTCCTGTGGAGAAACAGGATTTCCCTTCGGTAAGATTTCAGTATCGCTTGGAGAAAAGCCAGCACTGCCCAGTGCCAGCATTCATGTACCGGGTCAGGAACAACCCCTCACCCCGATACTCCTTATGGAGCCCAGTCCAATGGCCCCTTGGCGAGAAGACAAGTGCGGAGGGGCCGGCAAGATGCCCGCATCACCTCCGCCCCTCAACCGCTGGCCCGGGGCGCTCCGCCGCGGGGCGGGAAGCTGAGCGCTAGGGCCGCCCGCTGGAGGGCGAGGGGAAGAAGCGGCACCAGGAGGGGGGCGGCGGCTCCGCCCCGGCAGCGGGGCGTCCGGCTGCAGTCAGCCGCTCCGGTGGGGACGGTGGCAGCCGGCAGTAGCGGTGGGGTCTGCCTTTGCCGCCAGCGGGGACCCAGTGCTGCCCCGCAGCGCCCGCCCGTTCCATCGCACACTGTTGTCATGGAGGAACCAAGATGGCGGCGCTGGCCTGCACCGGGGGCAAGCGGGAGATCAACTACTATTTCAGCGTGAGGAGCGCCAAGGTGCTGGCGCTGGGCGCCGTCCTGCTCCTCACCGCCTGCCACGCTGCCTCGCGCCGCTACCGAGGTGAGGGGGCGGCCGCGGGCGCTCCGCGGGGGGCCGCGGCTGGCGGGCAGCGGGAGGCGGAGCCCCGGTGGAGCCCGGGGACTGCGGCCGTGCAGGCAGGACGGCGGTCCCTCGCCCGCCCGGGGTGACCTCAGCGGAGCCGAGGGGCGGTGGGGCGGACGCTCGTACCCCTGCCCCTGCGGGCTCCTGCGGGGGGTGCAGCTTGGTGCGGCTGCTGCGGGAGGCGAGCCTGGGAACGGTGGCGGCGGGGAACCGACGGCAGGAGGGGAGCGGTGCCCCCACCGCGGGGCCCAGCCTGCGGAGCTTCCCGCCGGCCGGGCTAGGCTCCGCGCCTCGGGCGTGCGTGACTGGCGGGGTCGGTGGTGGCGGGGAGCTCTGGCTGTGAGCGTAGCCCTATACCTGGGGCCTTGCCGGCGGCCAGGGGGTGACTTCTTCCCTGTCACTTGTTTCCCTACAGGATCGTTAACGGCCTTGACATGGCAATCAATGATTAAAATTGGTGTAAGGCTCGGTATATCTTATTTTGCTGTTTGAACCGTTCATAACGAAATCCAGACTCTTTGGTATATGAAGCAAAATAGAGTTGCTTGGTTTCACGTGTTACTAGTGGTTGCGGGCAAGCCAGTAACCACGATCTGGTGACCGCAGCTGGAGAACGTGACAGGGCTGCATATGGGTGCATGTCAGTAACAGGCGTGCTGGGAGCTTTGCTATGGCTCTGCATTCGGGTTGTTTTGTCCCTGAAGCTGTGAACCTTGCTATGATCTGTAAATGCAGTGGAACTGCTTAAAGGAAATACTTTCTTGCTTTGTTCTGATTCACGCTAAGAAATGCGGTATGTCTTTTTGGGTAAATCAGAAAGTTGGTCCAAAGACAGATCACTGGAGATGTGTTTACTGTAGGACAACTGGTGTTCTAACACTTGCTGCCAGAGTTCACAGAAAACAAGGCTGCAGAGATTTATTGTGGAAATGGGAAAGGGGGTAGGGATCTTATGGATACAGTTCTCTTCATTCACCCCTGGCTGGCATGTCAGTAAGTGATAAAGCGACTGGTGCTGTTGCAAGATATGGAAGCATTTACTGAATTCTAGAGGAGCTCAAGCATGAAGTAACTGAATTTGCCTGTTGTGCTGTATTCCTCAAGGTACAAACAGTGGCAAAACTAGATGGAAGAAGGGTGGCAAATGTGATTCTTTTTAAAGAGGGATTGCAACACTGGTGTAAGAAAGTAGCGACTGCCACATCAAGCAGATTACAAGGAAGCCATAATATGCGTAAATGCTATATATTATGGGAGATTTAATAAGAGGGGTGAGTCACAAATTGCAAAACTGAGAATCTGCAGGCCTTTATGCAAGATGATATGGTATATATGGATTTTCACAAAGCTTTCAACAAGTTCCTTTGCCTAAGGCTTTTAGTTTCTATAAGCTATTACAGAGTAACAGTGAGGCTTTCCTGTAACCCTTTAAAGGATAGGACATAGAGTGGGAGTGAACATAGTTACCGTCTTCGGCTACTTTGAATAACATTCAAAAGACAAATGGTTTAGAAAAGGAGGGTGGGGCATTTATAGCAGGCAAAAGTTTTCAGGAAACAAGCAGAGGTGCTTGAGAGATCATTCTACAACCCTTCAGTGACCTCAAACATCTGAAATTCAGTAAATGTCAGTGTATTTTTTTGGCAATTACACAAAAAAAAAAAAAACCAGAAGATTTCAAATATTATGAATTATTGGGGGAAGGTAAATTTATGATGATTGTGTCATAACACAGAAAGTATCAACTGAAAATTAAATTAGCATGCAATACGTTTAAAATGATCAGAAGAAACCACTGTTTACCCCCTCTCCCCCCACTCCTCATGCAAGGCATTTTGAAACATGTTGCCAAGATTCTATACCAAAAATACCATGAAAAGGGTTATTCTGATTTGCAGAGTGTGGATGAGGTGGGGATGTAAATGTGCTGCACTTGTGGCTCAAAGATGCCAGGCTATGAAAGCCCGGCCATTCTAGGGAATGAATTGCTCTCTATTTGTCATGCTTTTGTGCTTTGTCTTTGAATGTCCTCAGCTGCTGTCAGGAATAGGAGAGCAGACAAGACAGACTCTCTCACCTGAACATATGTTCTGCCACAGTGGGGCAAACGAGAAATTTAACAATGAATTAACCACCCATGTGGGTACTGTCTCTCCTTCACAGATGTCCAGGAATCTGGACAAAATGAAAGAGAGCTGCAGATGAACAAAAAGGGCTGAAATCTGTTCTGTGGGATGTGTGGGGTTTTCCCCTCCCACCTAAAACTGGATCTTTAAACCTGATAACTGAAATTTTTCATTAGTTGAAACAGCAACTGCTTGAATAATGGAGAAAATGGGATTGAAAATGGACATGTCATTCATAGAGTTAGGCATGTCTTAATGACACATACAGGATCCTGGTGTCCAATAAGGCATATAAAGGGTGGCAAAGACCACAGCTGTCTTTGTAGAAAAATGATGTATTAAGTCAAAATACTCTGTTATTTCATATTCTTTATTATTTACAAAATCAGGCTTACACCACAGAAGCACATTGATGATGTTCTGGCCTGTCTTACTGCAGTTTTTCCCTTGGACAATTTAGCCAGAAATAAAACACCACAGAGAACGTATATAACCAGACAGAGAATGGTACATGTGAAGAAGGTTCATCAGTGAATCCTTCTTTCTGTGGGACAAGCATGGGTATGCAAAGACTACATGAGTGAGAGCAGTTACTTTTAACATTTTTGTGAGGTTTGGGTTTTGTTTGATTGGTTTTCTGTTTGGTTTCAGGGTGTTGTTTTTTCTTTGCTTTGTTGTTTTGGGGTTTGTTTTTTTGCGAGGAAGACATTCTGAAATGCTAAAGGCACATAGAGGCTGCTGCTTTCATACCTTTTCTTTTTTCTTACTATCCCTGGTTAAGAGTATTAATATATAGATGTTCTGTGTTTTCAGAGTATCTGTACTTACAAGGTTTCAAACGAGTGGCAATTGGATGATTTAACTTTTTGGTAGTTAGCCTAGTTTATCTCACTCAGTTTAGAATTCCAGATTGCCATCTATTTTTCTTCTCCAAATGCAATATTGAAAAGTTCAAAAGGCATCAATTAATGTTTAGAATATGCATATGTTTTATAAAGTGATTGGTTTTGTCTTGGCTTCCTTTGGGAGCTTTTGGATGATTGAGACTTTAATTAGAACTCCTTTGTTTTGTCTGATTGTCTTCACATATAAAAGTTTCAGCTAATTTTTGCCTCAGTCATGCAAATATATATTGTGGATGGGAATGGATTAGTGCACTTCCCAATAAAACTTGCGTGTATAAAAGTTACTTGTATGAAGAAATCTTGAACTGGGGTTGTGGAAGGTCAAATTCATGTTCAGGGAGACTCATATTTAAGGGTCTCCTACATGCTTTGCAAAACTTAAAATTAATTAGGAGATGTTAAAGACTGCCTTTAAACTGCATACTCAGTGGAGAGTTAAGTGGACTAAATGTTTATAATCTATTCAGTAAAGTTAGTGCTGTGCGTCTTTCAGTTTTTCATATTTCAAAAGTAAAGTCTTAAACCCTGCTGGAAATAAGTTTTTATTTAAAATTTTATGTTCTTAAAATCAGCACTCATAGATTCTGTTTAAAACTACATTTCTATTTTGAAAAATAGAGAACAACTGAACCCCCATTTCTTCGAAATAGTGTGTGCCTTTTAGAGGAAGCATTGTGAAGCATAGCCTGTTCTCCCATTGAATGGAGAGACTGAGATTTCAGAATTTCAGTGGAGACCCATGATTTTCAAGAATGATAAATTAGAATAATAAGCATAATAAAATTAGAGGAAATATGGTCTTTGTATAACTATATCATAGTCTATCTAAGTGTAAAGTGATGAAAATAAGTAGTATGTTGTTAGGTTATTTACACAAAGCATGAAGAGAGAACTTAAAAAGAATGTTCTGAGTTTTGTGTATAGAATAGCACTTATGTATAAAATAGATTTCCTCAGGTATTGGGTTGTGTTTTGTTGTGGTAGTTTGGCTTTTTTCCTTTTTTCTTCTTTTAAGATCTCATTAAGGGTTAAGAAGAAGGAGTGGTATATTAAAATGAGAGTGGTTCTTTGGCTGCTGTGTATTTCATCTCCTGTGTGATATTTGGAATGTTATTTCCTTAAACATATTGTAGAATGGAGGATTGTTTTATTTGTTGGTAATCACGATGGGAGTGCCACAGAGTGCAGAGCTGCCAAGCCTGGGTTATGAACTCAAGATATGGAACCTGCTGTCCTATAAAGAATTAGTAAACTAAGATTCTTCAGTCTTGAAAACTTGATTGAGGAAGGATTGATAGTGATCTAAAAATGATAGATGTCAGTGTGAACTGTCTTTTTGTACGGAAGAGCTAGGGTGTACCAAGTAAATCTAGGAGAAACCATACTTAAAATAAAGGCAAGTGATTCTTCAAGCAGCAGCTGTGGGTATGAAAACCTCTTGTAGAAGAATGCTGCAGATGCTAAAAAATCGAAAAGAAGACTGCATGACTTTGTCAGAAAAAATCTCTGGAAGGTTCTGCAAAATATGAGAAACCACATCCTGCTCAGGAAGTCTCTGGACTGAACATGGGAGAATATTAGACAAGAACTTAATGTTTACTTGCCCTCTTCTTACTAGTCCTGAGGCATCTGCTTTTGGCCCCTGTTGAAGGCAGAATATCAGGCTAGAATGACCTAGGTCATGGTCTGACCATGCATGACTGTTCTTGCTTTGTTATGCGTCTTCCTCAGCAAATTAATGGATTTCAGAGTTATTCTGGTTAGTAGAGGATTTTATTTTACATAGTTCACTCTTACATTACTTTTCATCATCTGCATGGTGGAGGGCTTTGTAGCAGTAGCTGTAATCATTGTAAGTCACTTATTCTCGTAATCTGATCACAAACAAAATGAGTTTGATGCTTTTTATTATTTCTGACAATTTGATTTTTATGCAACTTACTCAGAATGATACTTGACATAAGTGTGTATGTTTGAGAATTGAGGAAATTATGTTGCTTGAAAGCCAGAGTATAGAAAAAGGATTTTATTTGAAATTAAGAATAAAGGAAAATATGGTAATTTTGAATTTATTATTTCTACTAGAAAGATGCCTGTCCAGCATATCTGAGCAATGCCAACATATTTAAAAAGTAGATAAAGAGTCTGCTTTCCATGTCATCTGCTGTGTTCTGCATTATTTCTGCAGAAATCTTGGCAGCAGTATCAGCAGCTTTCTTGTAAGTAGCAGTAGTTGCAAGAAGTGCAGAAAGGAATTGAAAGACTCTTCTGGAAGATCTGTAATCTCTTCAGAAATGGTACTTAACTGAATAATGAAACAGGCACAGACTGGAAAAAGAAAGATGATGTTGCTGACCTGGAGTGACCTATGCTGGTTGAAAAACAGGAGAGTTACAGAGACTACCTTTCTGGAAACCCCTGGAGTTCACCCTTTGTCTGGTCTCAGCATACTTCCATGAGAGCTTCTTTAAATGTTCAGAACCAAGCGGCCTTCTGCATCTGGCCATTTGCCACATCCCATTGCTGCTGTGTAGCAATTAATCAGTTTGACGTGGACAGTACATATGCATTGCAGTTAGGCAGGAAGTGTTGATCTGATTGGTGGTATCTCAAGCGTTTGCTTGAGAGGTTACCAGCCAATTTGAGAGAATTCCTGAACTACCCTGGGGTGATTAGTAGACTCTTACTGATGATAAAATAGGAGTTTATCACTATGTATATATTTTATTTAAATTTTTTACAGATTTTCCTTCCATGCATCAAAATCTGCCTTCAAAAACAGAGGTAGGAGTAAAGGATGACAATTTTAATAAAAAACAGTTTATCTTCCATATTAGGAGTATGTCATGTGGGTTGCTCACAGACAGCCAACCCAAGCCCAGAGATACGACCTTTTTCAAGGCTGTTGTAATACTTAATGTTATTCCAGCTCTTTTAGAAGTCACAGTGCAACAGCAGTGAAAAGTAATTGAAGTTCCAGGAGAGAAAGCAAATTTGGTTGTTAAAGTTGCATTTTGGAATGAGTACCGTTAGAACATTGTAAATAATAACTTGATCGTGTTACTACTGCTGGGTTTGGGTGCAAAATGAGACAAGGAGTGACAGTTACAGTCTGTTCTACATTGCCTTTTTCAGATTTTCATGAAAACAGGTAGGAGGAGTTTCAGAGAGGAAGGCAGGGATAGACGTTGTCTTCAGCTGCCACTTCTTTCCTCCACGCTAATTTTATATTGTTTTTCAAGCAGCATATGTGAGCTGCATTGTCTGCACTTCTATGTCATAGAATGGGTTGGGTTGGAGGGGTCCTTAAAGCTCTTCTAGTTCCAGACCTATTGCCATGGGCAGGGCCACTTTGGAAAACTACAGAAATAGGTAATTTTCCCAATTATCTTATGTCCAACTCAAAAAATCTGAAAACCAAGCAACCAAAAAGAGTTGCTTCAGTGCCTGTAATAATTAATTAGCTTTCACTGTGATCTTAGAACCATAGCTTGGGATATATTTTATTATCAGAATGTTACACGAAGTCTTTCTTTACCTGATGCAATTTTAATTTCTTTATTTATTGATAGATTTGGCTGTGGTCTTGTGGAAGCCTTTGTTTCAGCACAAGGGAAGTGATACCATGGCTCTGTCTCTTTTTACTAAAAGCTTTTTACAGTTGTACTGATCTTTGAGGATCTTTGAGGACTATGAGCCTGGGTCTTGGTAGAGGCAGTGGTACCTTGTAAATTCCCATTCCTACAGACCTCAGGGTACTTGCGTCTCATTCTGTTCACCTCGTCTAATTTACAGTTCTAGATAATGCTTCAGATTTCCTCATAGTAGTTGAAGCAGATAGTCCGTCTCATTACAATATGTGGCTTTCAGCAGTCCTGAAAAAAGCAGGTGGAAAACGCCCTGTTCTTTAGGATTATTAGAAGTTTTGGCGGAGTAAAAGTGTGGTTCTTAGTTGAGTTTAAGGAAGTCAAGAGTTTACAGAAAGCATTAAGTGTGGGCTGTGGTACATTGTTTCTGAACAAGCTAGCACAGGTACCTGCCATTTCATTCACAACCGTTCCTCTGTTTGTCTGAAATGACAAGTATGACAAAAATGTTGGTGGGCAACTTCTCTTGCAGTGATCCGTGTTCAGCTGTGTTCAGTTATAAGGCAATAGAATCTGACAGGGAGTTTGCTGGGAGATAACACTCCCTGATATCATAACTGGAGTATTTTACTTATATGAACTTAAAATGACCTGGAACATCACCACCTGTAAGGTGATTCATCCTAATGAGTGTAAAACTTCTTGACTAGGAAAGGTACATGCAGTTGAGACTGATCAGCAAATTCTGGTATAAATGGGTTTTGTTTTGCATATCAACCCAGCATGTAATGTGACCTCTTTTGATGTGACTGCCATGTCTTGAACAAGGAGATAGAATAGACTTTCTTGCAAATCTCATGTTGACATTCATGTTCTGTAAAAGATGCTGCATATGGTGATTCTGTGTAGAAGATTAGGATATTGAACTATTGTATTCTTCGATTTGGTGTATTCTTTGTTCTGGTGACAGAACACTGGAACAGGCTGCCCAGGGAGGTTGTGGAGTCTCCTTCTCTGGAGACATTTAAAACCCGCCTGGACACGTTCCTGTGTAACCTTATCTAGGTGTTCCTACTCCGGCAGGGGATTGGACTAGATGATCTTTTGAGGTCCCTTCCAATCTCTAACATACTGTCATACTGTGATTTCATATTAGTGTATTCTGGATAGTAGATAGCACAGTGGATTGGCACCTGTTGTTGGAAATGCCGTTCTAGGTCACCACATCCTTCTGACAACAGAAATGGGATCACTAACCTTTTGTGGATAGAAACGTGACTTACAGAGAAGTGTGGTATGATAAGTGAGAAGGCAATTTGCAGAAACTTGTGCAAGACGTTTTTACAATGAGTTTGGTTTTATTACTGCTATTGATTGTTTCAAGTCCTGTGGTTCAAATATTGACAAATTATGATTGCTTTTAATGGCAATGGGGCTATGTTTTAACTTTCATGTGTCTGAAATCTGATCTTAACTTTTTAAAGGTGGCGATACGTGTGAGTATCTTCTGTCCAGTGGGAGATTTCTTGGAGAAAAAGTATGGCAACCCCACAGTTGTATGATGCATAAGTATAAAAATAGGTAAGAAAACTCATGTCTTCAGGTTTTCTGCTTGGAAAGAAGAGTCACTGTCTGACTGCATCTGTAGAGATCGCAGTGGCATATATTTTTCTCTTTATAGCTGATTTTCTAGGCTTTCAAAAATGCGCAGCATTTGTCAGAAGGAGGTCTTTTTCCTTGTAGATTACCTCTGTGTCTACAGTGTTTACCATAGTTAAATTTTTATATAAGAATACAAGTAAATGTTGGTGATATTAGTACTGATACATGTTATGGAGAGCCTGCATAGCTTCATGTGTTGCTTTCAGATTGCTGAAAGGGAAAATGCTGATCTTATGTGTAGAATCACGAGTGAAAAAATCCTAAATAAAATTACCATTCACTTTTTTTCACCTACTAGTAAGAGACTTCTATTTTTTAGAATGATGCTTTTATTACCATTTGGAAACTACTGTGTTTGTAGCACCACAGAATAGAAAAGCCTGCTTTATTTTTTGCCTATTAGCAGGAGAGTTCATTTTCATTTCTATGCAAATTATGCTAAACTTTTTATTAATTCAGCATGCTTTAAAAAAAGATTTACTATTCCTTAGAGCTGGATATAATGCTTAGAATTATCTGTATTGCTCTGTAGATTTTCTAAAGACTTTTTCCTAAAACATAAATTTCCTGTAACCTGAATGTTGCTATTTTGTTTTACAGTGAAGCAAAAAATTGCCTTGTAGACAAACACGTTGTGTTTATAGGAGATTCTAGAATTCGACAACTGTTCTATTCATTTATAAAACTCATAAATCCTCAAGTCAAAGAAGAAGGAAATAAGGTGCGGCAATAGTTTGTTTTGATGATGTCTTTGTTTCTGTCTTCCTAAATAACCTCTGAATAAAAAAAAACCACAAAAACAAACAGGAATTTATACCATTTGCTGGCCTAGCCATCAGAAAGAAGAACCTCAAAAAGGCCTTTTGAAGGAGAACAAGATTAGACCAAGATAATTGTTTGGGTACAGATGATAAGTGAACTAGGAAGCTTGAGTGAAAATTTGTGGCACTGTAGGAATAAATTAGTGAAGCCAACTTGTCCCATAGCAACTTATGCTTCATATTTGGCTTCTTGATGAAAAAAAACATTGCTCCTTTGTGTGTTTTTAAATAGTAATAATTCATGGGTTATCATTTGTCATTTTAAATGTGAATTGCTGATCTAATCTGTTCATAAAAATCCTTAGGGCAATGACAGATTTCCAGATCTGACTTGAAGCTGAAACTAAAAAAAATTCTGATCTTACCTTCCTTTTAATCACTGCTGAAGAGCTGTCTGAATTTTATAAGGTGAAGAATGTAAGTTTGTTTGGTGGGAACAGTAAGAAAGGATTCAGCTTGAACAGAAATTGATTTCTGTTGCTGTATCATGCTTAGGCATATGCCTTCATGGATCTAAGTACATATGTGAGGGAAAAGACACAGTTCACTTTTAACTGCACATCAGATTTGTCATTTAGTAATTCTGTCATTTAGATGTGCAAGCTGGTGCCTTGTCCAGCAAACATCATGCAGTCACTTATTGTCAGAACAGGATATTTGATTGACTGAGTAATTTCAGTCTTCCTCATCTCTTGGTCACAGCTGCTGCCCAAAAGTGATGGTGAGATGATGGAGTGCTATAATGGATTTTGAGTTGAGGCATATCTTTTGTCAAGTATTTAGGAAATCAAGATCTCAGTTTGTGGAAGAGAAATGCACTTGTTCTTTGGATCAGGACTGAAACTAGTATTGTATTTTAGTAATATGTTAAAGGACAAATGTATATGCAGCATCTGACCGCTTCCTTTCTGATTTCTTACAATAACAGCAAATTTAATAATGCATCCCAGAGTTTATTTCTGCCTGAAATTATTTTATTTTTTAATTAAAACTCTGTTGATTGTTTTGTGTAAAGAAGTTGGGCAGTTGAAAAGGAAGGCTAGAGGACAGGCAGTGTAAGAAAAGAAAGAGAAAAAAAAAGTCTTCTCATTTTGGGAGGCTAAATATAGATAAATATTTCATGCCTTTTTAACAAAGTGAATAGAAAATCTTTCAGACTTTGTTGGATAGATTTCTTACAGGAAGAATAACCCTTCACTCGAGTACCTTGTTTTATCAAGAAAGTAACATAAATATTTTTTATGAGTAGTATACTGACAAGTTTCTGCCGAGGATAAATAAACCTCCGGGTGAGAGCAATTTAACATACAAATGTAAATATTTTTGTTTTCGTTCCAAGAGTTTGTCTCACTTTGCTTTTATTGTTTGGGGTTTTTTGACAGCATGGAAATATCCCGTTTGAAGATAAGGCTGCTTCAATTAAAGTGGTAAGTTTTTATCTAGTGTGAAATTGCAAGTCGTCATCGTATTATTATTTCATAGAGTGTATTCCAAGTTACAGTCAGAGCTGGATCTTTCAAATTTCTACAAGTGCTGTAAAAGTCAAAAGAAGCTTTAGACCATCAACACTATGAATTTTCCACAAAATAGAGAGTATCTTAACATACTATATTTTGAATAGGGTGGTTCGAGAGACATTGGCTTTCAGTACTTCTATATTGTGTTAGCTTTGGGCGTAAGCCTTGGAAGCATTTATAATTTTTCTTTTTGTCAGATATTATAATTTGGCCTTCCCAAGAATAGCTTTTGCTAGGAAGTTTACTCTTCCACTGCTGTAAGAATATGTATCTGGGTCTAACTTACTTGGAGTGTTAATTGTTGTAACTGCTGTTGAGTTCTCTGTGCTATCCCAACAAGTATTCCTTCCGCTGTTTTTACATGGAGAAATAACCACAATGTTTATTATAATGTGGATATTTTAAAACAGAAAACAAACAGAGTACTTGAGGGTAGGTTTTATGAAGGATTCTCTTCTCTGCCTTGGCAATGAAAGCAGTGTCCTCAGTAGCTTTCTTTGCTTCCCATGACAGCTGTCAGCCGCGCTGGGATTCTGCTGGTCGTGTTGTTTGTTTATGCCCTGGAGACAACTCATTCTCTGTTCATGAAAACCAAAGAAGCAGTGTATTTGCTGAGTTGCCTGCAAGTGAGCTTTCAGTACCTGTTTGTGTATGTGGTTAAGATTTAGCGTACAGAATAACATTTTACGGTGTGAGTTCGTTGCAATTTAGGCCTCTGCTGTCCCACTGCTGCCCTTCAGAGCATGCTCCTGTGCTCGTGAGGTGACTAGCCCTGGTACAGGTGTGGAGTCTGCTGGTTTAGGAAGCGATTCAGCCAAAAACTTACCTAATAGGTTTCCTTTTAGGTCGGGTCTGATGTGTCTCATCATATGGTTATCTGAATGCTAGAAAAGAGGGAGCAGAACACAAACCAGGACAAAGGGGATGATGCAATGGGATTTATGTTGGCTTAGGCTGACACATAACTACATCTAACCACCAAGATTTGAGTTTGTCAGGCTTGGGCTTTTGGGAGTTAAGTTTTGGATAGTTAAGAATATATTCCTAGTTTGCTGCTTCCTTCTTTTGATACTGTATTGCTGTTGACATTATTGTCAAGCTGAATTTTCACAATCCCAGTGGCTGTGACCCGGTAATCTACATGTGGAAAATACTTGACCAAGAAAAGAGAAAATCACTGGGAACAAGCGGAGAGTTCAGTTTTGCCTGTCCTTCTAGGTAGAAGGTTGGGTGCTACTCCTGATGTCAGCTGATAATTTCTGAAGTGTAAAATAAATTGTTAGGTTTCCTTTCTGTTCAAAAACTATTATTTCATGCTGTCAATTATAGTAAGTTCTGGAACAAAGAAAACCTGTTAGTAAAAACTGTGTGAAATTGAGCAGAAGGCAAGTTCTAACAAGTAAGTTATAGTTGTGAGCTTGGTTTTATCCCTGATCATGTTGGAAGTCCAAGGACATCCTGTTTGGCAGAAACTGAAAAATAATTTTCTTGGTGAAGTCCCAACTCTTGAACTATCAATGAAAATTTCTTCTTTTTTCATGGGAGCAAAGTTTTGTGGTTTGTGGGGGTTTTTGGCATCATCCCATTCCTTGCCTCCCCTCCCCCCCTTTTTTTTTCCTTTGCTTTCTGTTTTGCGTGCTAGAGGGGGATGTCTGACTTTTCGTGCTAACTATACAGGGAATCTGACTAGGCCGAAGGATTTTTCCTTCGCAGTTGAATTGATGGTAATTACTTTGGTTTTTTTATATTTTTTTCCAATTGTTCTACTGCTTGTCTTTAAGCTTACAGAGTACACCTGCATTTGTTTTACAGGATTTCCTGTGGTATCCAGAAGTTAATGGCTCTATGAGACAACGTATCAAATCTTGGACTGAGGTTTGTCTTAAAGAACTGTGGTTCAGGAAAATACAGCAACTGTCTGAGGACTACTACCTTCTCGTTTTTTGGGGTTTTTTTTACATACATAGCTATAATTACCAGCAGCTGTAGCATATCGCATACATTCAGTCAGTTATGTCCCAGATATCTGAAATTTGACATCGAAATAGTGAAAGGGGGATGTTTACTAGTCTGTATGTTTCTGGGCGTGTCCTAGTCTCCCAAGATGGCTTCACTTGGCCTCAGAAAAACACAAACCAAACCAGTAAAACCCTACTTCCCTGGAGCAAGTGGATTCATAGAATCATAGAATCAACCAGGTTGGAAAACACCTTTAAGATCACCAAGTCCAACCTTTATCCCAGGACCAGATTTCTTCACTTTTACACATTTTCTGTGATGAGATGGTGATGCAGTGATGGCAGAGGCTGTCATCACACAGGTGTCCTCCTGTTGCTTTTGGAAGAGGAATGACTTTTGAAAAGCATCATCTCAGACCACCTTGACAAGGGTCTCGCTGTGATTCCCCAGCGTTGCTCACCTACAACCTAGAACACATGACAGCATTGCCCTGGTTTCAGATTGAGCTGGTAACTCTGTTAATCCAACCCTCCCATTAATAGCTGAAAGAATTTTGTTCAGATCTATGATCTACAGTTTACTTGACAGTAGGAGATATTGTTTAGATAGCTTTTGAAGTGAATTTATGCTGCTAAATTGGTAATGATTGTGAGTGCTTATTGGTCCTTTGCACTTTTGTATATTTTATGTGAAAATTCTAGTGTATCACAATTTGATGTTCTCTGCCATATATCTGTAATCTATTTTTTTTATAACCATCAACTGATGGACAAGTTGAGTCACAGCTGATTAAGAGATGAGTCTTAATTAACCTGCTGAGTATTATAATAATTTGTGACTATTTTAAACCTAATTTGTTTTTACTTTGTGTCTTAGAGTTCTGTGGCAAAACCTCATATAATTGTAGCAGGAGCTGCCACGGTAAGTTACACATATATGAGGAATTTTAGTCAAGAAGAAAGTCCTATTAGGATGACTTTAATGCTGTCAAATTGGTTACCTAATAAAGTTTTTAAACTCATTTTGTAATAAAAATATACTCTCAGTGAATTTGCTGTTACAACAAGTAGTTCTAAAATATCAGGTGTATTTTATTATAGCTGTGCAATGTACAGTACTTGCTTTTTGGCAGCAATACTGGTTGATAACATTGATTAGCTTGAACCTAGCTAATAAGCTAGCATTGTTCATTTTAAAAAAGTTAAATGCAAATACTTGCTTACTAACTGAGAATAATCTTTAATAAACACTTTTCAGTCACAGAATAGTGCTTTGGAGCATGGTCCAATTGGGAATGCTCTTTTTGAGCATTCATAATTCCTTTAGGCTTATATGGGCTGCAGCATCACAAAAAACAAGGCTGGCATGGACTTTAAGAGGTCTCCTAACCCATCTGTGTGACACAAGGCAGGATCACTTATACCTGTGTTGCCCTTGATAAGAGTCAACCAGTTCTTTAAAGCTTCCAGGGGCAGATCTCAACAGCTCCCCTAAGTCATCTATTCTAGTAGTTGGCTGGTACTGGGAGTCAAGAGTTGAATGACTGCTCATTTGATTTTTGAAAAATCAAATTTTTTTTTTAATTTTTGAAAAACCAAATATACATTAAGTTGACTATTATATACTCTGCATTTGAATGGTCTCTTTAAATGTAATTATCTATCTAAACAGCTGCTTAGTCCAAAAGAAATATTTAGCACTTTAAAAGTGAATACTAAGAAAAATAATCTAGCTTTATAAAAATAATGAAAAGTAGCTACTAAAGAGCAAAGGAATAGTTAATTAAGAGTCCTCAGACATACAGGTACTGAATCTCTTTCTTTATTTCTCCAGTGGTCTATCAAGATTCATAATGGCAGCAATGAAGCCCTCGCACAGTATAAAATCAATATCACTTCAATTGCACCTCTTTTGGAAAAATTAGCGAAAACTAGTGATGTTTACTGGGTCTTACAAGGTAAAGTAACGAACAGTAGGTAATAATTTGTACTGTCACCTCTGTTGAATCATTGTTTTGTAGGCTATGGGAGACTTAGCCCATATGGCTTACTTGCAGGGTAAAAAGGGCGTTGGTTGAAGTCCAGTCTGGCCTTTCTTGTAGCCCTAACTAGCAGGAGCCTAAGTAGCTCTTCATAGTGATGGAGATTTAAAACTCACCCAGGAAAATGTTTTGCCTTCTGAACTCTTTAATTCTTTGTTAGCATACTCTCAGGTTCAGTATGGTAGGTCTGTCCTCCCTGTGCTGTGCTCCATACCTGCCTCCTGGGAGTCAAGAACACAGTGCATAAACCAGCTGTATTCCTGTGTTTGTGTTCTATTAAATTTTCAGATTACATAAATAGTAAGAGAGGTTCAGCAAGTGCATTTCTGTGTGTGCCCGGAATGGACATACTCTTGAGAACAGGGACAATTCAAGTCTCTAGCATGAAACTTGCTTCTGAGCACTGATGAGTTAAGATTAAGGGCCAGAAATCATGGTTCACAATGAGTTTGTGAATTTTTTATTATGGGCACCAAGGTTACATTCTTCTGCTTTTTTTCAGTAAAACCATAATACATCCCTGATTTTGAACAGTGAGCTCATAGATAGAATGTGCTCCTGGTTTATCTGCCATAAAACATAGCATTTTAGATTATCATAATCTCAGAATTCTCGCATTCCTTTCAAAACTGTGTTTATTTATAATAGAAGCAATTAGCTGTCAGGCATGGCCCACCATTCTGTTGATAAAGATGCAGTCCCTTTAAGTCATCTCCGAGCTCTTTAATGGAACAAGAAGAGGTGTCTGTACAGAGAGTTGTCTAGACATTGATTGTCCAAAAGTAGGCATGAGGTAGCTGAAGTAAATCACCTTACAGTTCATAGAGTGTGTTTCACCAGAGTAAGAACATCAGCAGCTTTTTGTAGCAACTTACTGATCTCCAGCTGACCTTTTTGATCCACAACCCTGTATAGTTTTATGTTAAGCTCTACATAACTTCTGAAGCCTGCAGCCAGTTAAGTGGTGTTCTGTTTTTTGAAAGGAGAAGCTGGCTTCTTCTGCGGTAATTAATGGGTTTGAGGGGTTTCTTTCTTTTTTCCATGTGTCTATTCTGCTGCCTGTCTTCTGTTCTCTTGGCTTTGGAGTCTGCTTATGCTTTCTCCAAAAGCATAAGCAGCTCTGTACTCCAGCATTATATGCTTTTCATGGATTTGGGAAAATTAAACAGGCATTCATGTCTGGCCAAAGCTTTCTAATCTATAAGTACATATGCATGACTAGGGACTGGCAATAAGAACATTTCATCGTAAACAACTCTAGTTACTGTAACTGTCTCTCATTCTTCGCTGTACATTTTTTTCTGTGCCATTAAACAGTTGTGACTATCTAAATGCCTGTGGAACTTGAGCTAAGCAAATGTCTCTGTCAAGTAGAAGGCTAATGTGCTCATTCTTTGTCCTTTCGCATTCAGATCCTGTTTATGAAGATATGCTGAGCGAAAGTCGGAAAATGATCACTAATGAGAAAATAGATGCTTATAATGAAGCAGCTGTTCATATTCTGAACAGCAGCTCCAGAAATTCCAAAGCTAAAGTTAAAGTGTTCAGTGTATCAAAATTGATAGCACAAGAAACTATCATGAAGTCTACAGATGGTCTGCATCTCCCTGAATCAAGCAGAGATACAGTAAGTGCTTTTATCACCAGTCAACATTGAAAAGTAGTAAAGGTAAAGCAAGATTTTAAGTGAATTTTCTGAAATAGCAGACAATATGAACAGAATGAGGACCACATTCTTCAGGAAATTTTGGTCAGAATTTCTCGGGAGGTGTGAGGGCAGTCAGTTACAGACAATGTTAAAAAAAGCCACAATAGCAAAGATGTTAGTGTGTAGCTATTTCAAAATAGCTGTTAATTGGCTAGATCCTGCATGCAAACTTCATGCCTTCATCTGCATGTATCAGTTAGGGTGAGAATTATTTGTAAAGCAGTACTAAGAAATAAGTCTTAATTTTTCACCTATGTGCCCACATAATTTTGTTCAGTAAGAAGTATATATAAAAATGATACGAAAACAAAACATACGTTTTCCTGATTGTGTGGACTGCAACTGACTTTATTTCTTATTTTATCTTTAACTTGCGAATGTCTGTATGCACATAGTGAGCATGTCTGGGCCTTGTCAGTGTGTTCTTGTGAAAGCGTTCTCTCACTGGGTCACTTCTAGTTCCAGTCCTTCACAGATTTCCGTTTGTTTAAAGTATTGGATGAACTACATACCATCTCACCATAGGTTTCAGTCTCATTGCCATATTTTAGAGTTCCATTACTGTGCCCCTTTAGTGCCCAAGTTTGTGAGCTGTTTTTCATTTGTACTCCATTTAGTTCTTTATAGCTTTACACCCAGTAGAGAGAACCCTGTTATTGTACAAATTAGGATTAGATATTCTTGCTTCCCTGAAGTAGCTCAAGGGTTTCCTGTTTGGAAGAGGTGTTTTGACTGCACTGTTGAATGCAACTAGGTATATGGGGTACAGTGAAATTTTACGTGTGTAATGATAGGGGAGAATTGCATATGTTTTATGCCAGTGCATGGTCTCGAAGACTTATTACAATGAAAATGTTAATGCTTTTATTAGTGATTAATTGACAAAACTGCTTATTTCTTTGACAGAATGCGATGATTCTTATGAATGTCTACTGCAATAAGATAATGAAGCCCATTGATGGCTCCTGCTGCCAGCCTCAGCCTCCTCTCACTCTGATACAGAAGTTAGCTTTCTGTTTCTTTACTTTGTCCATTATTGGATATTTAATTATCAGTTTAATTCATCGGAATAATTATCGGAAGAGCAAATCATGCACTGATTTGGAAAGTGGAGAGGAGAAGAAACCTGCCGTCAGCACTCCTAATGTTTCTACTTTAGAGATGCTCTTACACTCCTTCTGCAAACTTGGTCTAATCATGACCTATTTTTATCTATGTGACAGAGCAAATCTTTTCATGAAGGAAAATAAATTTTATACTCATTCATCTTTCTTCATACCAATCGTCTATATCTTGGTTTTGGGGGTATTTTATACTGAAAATACTAAAGAGGTAATGATCATGTTGACATTTGGCTTACAACATTGTTTCCGTGTTTGAGTGTAAATAACTAAATGCTAAATACTGGAAGTTAAATTTTCAAAGTCAGTGTAACTCATCTGCAAAAAAATGCATTCGCAAGCAGTGTAATGGTTGCATGGAATTACATGCAAAAGCTTTTTGAAAGCAAATGGATATGAGTGCTTTTAGCCATTGTCACTGAGTTAAACTGGGACTGAACATAGCTCAGATACAAGAGAGTATATATCACATTAAAATCTGATAGACCCTTATTCGCTAGACAGAAGACTTTTAAGTTGAGACCTATTTACCCATAAAGTGGTTTATTGTTTTGAACTTTCTCTCCTCATTTTGTAGATGTTCCTTGTACTTTTTGGAATAGCAACACTCTTGTTTTGTTTTGCATTAGACTAAAGTGTTAAATAGAGAGCAGACTGATGAATGGAAGGGCTGGATGCAACTTGTTATTTTGATTTATCATATCTCTGGAGCAAGCACTGTAAGTGATTTGAATTTATCTTTTTCTTTTTTTTAATGGGAGGGCAATTTGTATATGTTACTTCAAAAGAAAGACAGTGGAAATGTGTATTAAAATTGAATAGAATGAATAACTAATGCTGCTGTTCCTGTAGTTTTTAAAACACTATCGGCAGGATTTGATTTCTTTGTATGTAAGTGTGGATTTCATTGATATGAGCACTTCGTGCATTGCTTGACCAGAGAAAAAGTATACCCTAAATAAGGTAGAATATTATGTTGATTTATTTTTAATTGCTGGCAACACTTCCTTTTTATGTTGTGAACTTGAACCTGCTGAAGGCAAGCTTTCAGAGAGTCCCTCTTAAGTCTATCTTAGCTGGTCATAAAATGTGGAAAGTGTAGAGCAATAAATGAACAGATTCATTTTAACGTTGAAGAGGTTTAGGGCACCAACAGAGCCTAGTAAGAAACAGGGAATTGTAGGATAATGTTTCTTTTCTTAGTTAAACCCGATTTACTGCAATGTAGAAAAAGCATTAAATAGAGGGGGAAAATGGAAAGCTAAAAGTATTTATGTGAACATTTATAAAAGTTATCTATTTTTCTCAACAGTTTTTGCCTGTGTACATGCACATTCGAGTTTTGGTTGCTGCATATCTGTTCCAAACAGGTTATGGACACTTCTCATATTTTTGGATAAAAGGGGACTTTGGTGTATACAGAGTTTGTCAGGTAAGAACATCTGTTTACTGCTTTCATAAAGAAATTTGTTCAGATAGCACAATATCCATAGTGTATCTTTACTCCCTAAGTAATTTGATATCAGAATACTTAACCAAGGTTTTCACATTTAAAGTGACTATTGTTTCTATGTAAACTGGCCTGTTTAATTGGTAATGTTTATCTCATACTAACATGTAGTATATAAATGATACTTAAAATCTAAGTATGTAAGCTTTAAAATATCAAGACAAATATTTCCCAGTATACAGCAATGGATTTTTCATTGCAGTAGCAATTTGCAATAGATTACAATATATAAGCAATGATCCAGGCATGCTTCCAGCGACTGTGTTGGAGCTTACATTTGTTAATAAAGGAAATGAATATCCATACCATAATGATGCTGGAGAAACTAACCTACTTTTGAAGTTTCCTTCCCAGTGTGTGATGTAGCAGTTTAAAATTATTTAAAAAAATATTTATTTCTTTTATTTCTGTTAAGTTTTATATTGTCATGTAACTTGGGTCATCGTGCTCATTAAAAATATGTCTGTAGCCTAATTGCAGCACTGGTAATGGCATTACACAAGTGTTAGCAGATCTAGCTGGGTAGCTGTGGGAGTGAAAGCACGGAGGCTTTAAACACATCCAGCAACTGGAATACTCAGTCCCCAGCCTGGGGAATAATCGGTTCTGGTTTACCTTGTTTTCAGTGCTCTCTCTACCCAAGTAGGCCAGTATAGAACAGGAGGTCCACTACTACATAATCAGCCTGCAGTCTTACATTGCATTGTTGGTATTCCCTGAGATATTTATCCATGTTTCAGCTGAAATATAATCAGCATGTGAGATGTAAAATACATAAATATTTTCATACAGTGCTAAAAAAACATGTCCCCCATCTCCCTCAGCTGTGCCTCCCAGTTTATATATCCTATGTCTTCTCTCCTCTGACACTCTTCAGGTTTTATTTCGTCTCAATTTCTTGGTTGTGGTATTGTGCATAGTGATGGACCGACCTTATCAGTTCTACTACTTTGTGCCATTAGTCACTGTCTGGTTTATGATCATTTATGCCACCTTAGCTATATGGCCTCAGATAGTCCAGAAAAAAGCAAATGGTAAGATTATTTTTTTATTTATTTCTGCTATAAAACATTTGCATGTTATTAACGATAGCCATAGAGAAAATGGTATTGTTGGATCTCAATCTCTTTGTAACATAGTCAAAATATGCTAATCCATCTATTCACAGAAATACAGTTTGTCATAGATGAGCTATGTGTCAGTTAGAAAATGTAACAGCTGATAAATAAAGTCTGACTCTGGCTACAGTCATATTAGAATACTTTTTAATAGGTTTTGAACATCAGAAATGTGTTTGATTAAAAGTTGTAATACTACTGAATGCAAACTAAAAGCATAGGTTACCCTGTCCATGCTAGCTGAGCTGTCCATTATTGCTGTAATGTACTAATGGGTACAGCATGAGCAGTGAGCATTTAGATTTTCCCACTCTGCATCACCAATATGTCTCATCCATCTTGAGCACCAATTCTTGCCACATCCTGCCAAATAAGGATGGGGGGTGTGTTATCTTAGATTAAGTGAACTATCAGCAGTATGACTGGTGATATGGGTATTTTGAGTAAAAATCAAAGTGAATCCTGGTTTATCTTATGCATTGCAGTTCATTGAAAAGCTGTCATCAAGTGGTAAATGCTTATTTAATTCACCTAAATTAGAACTAAAACCTTTAGAGGCCTAGGTCCTCCTTCCGTGTTGGTGGAGTAATATCCAAATTTTATAGTCTGCAGGTGCGACAATAAAATATAACAAATGCATGCTAGGAATAGATGTAAAAATATAATTAGAGAGTAGTTTTGCAAGATACTTCAAAGGCAAATAGCTCTAGTGTTTTCTGGTTTTTCCTGCGAAGGCGCTTCTGTTCCAGATACAGACAAATTACTGTTCTGTACTGCAGATTAAGTGTCTCCTGAAACTAGAAAATCTTTCAGTGACTACGTTCACTTGTTTATGTCCCAGTTTACAGCTGCCAATTTATATGGTGAGAGAGTGAGAGATGATCCCTATTGCAATGTTGAGGCTTCATAGAGCTTAATATCAGTTAATAGCTTTGAGGAGCAGATTTCAGGCTTCCTTTCACAAGGTACTTGTCCCTAATGACCTGCAGTTGAGCTTTGGAATACAGCTGGTACCTCAGAGTTTAATAATGTATGCTCTATTCACCTAACATTACAAAAGCTGTTGGGCATTTTCGTTTATTTATTTATTTACATTCTCCTGGAACAAGGACTGCTGTTCAGTGTTTGGGCAATCATGCTTTAAAATAGTGTTTCTGGTTGAACACCCAAGTTCTCTTCTTTCTGTTTGTATGTTGTCCCTGTTTGAGACACGAGACTTAATTTAGGATTTAATAGGTTTTTAATTGCTATGAATGTTTCATTTAATTGCTTAAAGCAAAATTTAATATGTAAATGAGGTTAGTGCTGAAATATCGCTGGTAATATTTGAACATTGATTATTTAATGTGTCCTAGGGTTTGCCATTGAAAAATTGCTGACTATATACTGATTAGTTTATTTCTTCATCAGGAAACTGCTTGTGGCACTTTGGTTTACTGCTGAAACTGATTTGCTTACTGACATGTATATATTTTCTGTCATATTCTCAGGTTTGTAAAGTTTTACTATTTTTATCCTTAATAACCTTAGAGTATATTGCCTATCCCTACTCTTTAATGTGCTCATAGCTGATACATTTGTTCCTATATCATAAAGATAGAAGAAGAAAAATGGAACCTGTCTGTTTCTTTTCGTATTTGAATCGGTGCGGATGCTGGAAAAACTACAATTCTGTATCTATCTTACTCATTTGTAATGCTTGACATGTTTTCAGTATACTACTACAAACGTAATAAATACAAAAGTCTATGCTTTGGGTTTCAGGTGGGGTTATTTCTTTTATGTGCTTAAAGTTACTGGCATTTGCTAGCATACGGTGAAACACATGGTGATCTGGTGGTATGAAGATCTGTGTCTCTTAGAGACTGGGTTTTGGCTTTAATACCTTATCAAAAGACTGCTTCTCATGCTAAATTAATTTAGTGACTTACTGCATGCCGCAAGTGTAGCTGACAGAAATAAAGACAGAGTTTGGCACGCCGGGATGTTACAGGGGGGGTTGTGTGGTTTTAATCCCCCATTTTTTTTAAGCCTGTTGAACTGTAGTCTTTGGCAGAGTATGCATTTGTTATTCCAACACATCAGTCGATCTCTCCCTTTAAGCCTGCAAGCACAAAATGGGAAGACCTTTATAGAAAGCAAAACTGAAACTCTCTCATCTGAAGAAGTATTTCTGGTTTTGTTCAATTGGTTCGTTTTTTTCTTTTTCGGGGGGAGTGCCTTCTAAGAAGCCTGTTACTTAGGTAAGGTCAGCCAGCTAGTGAAGCACATAAGTGGTAATACTAAAAGAAAGCATATTGTTTTAAATGTAGTAAATATAGTTGACATCAGTGTTAACGCTTTTGCCCTGTTTGTTTTTTACAGGGTGCATTTGAGAAGATATTTTCCTTTTGGCCACTGTCCAAGTGTTTTGAACTGAATGGGAATGTCTATGAATGGTGGTTTAGGTGGAAGTTGGATCGATATGTATGTAACATTTGTATAAAGTTAGACTGCTGTTTTACATGTATTTTTTAATCTAGGGGGACAGGGTGGTGAGGGAAAGCAGGAGTTTGTCCCAGTGGGTTGTTTAATAGAAGACTAAGTTGCATCCATCTTCTGCAAATGTCTGTCAAAGCCTTGCTTAAAAGAGGGGTGTTGATTTGTTTGCTGTTGGATCCTGCTTTTAAAAAAGTCATAAAGTGACCTAGATTTGGCTTTTCTCAAAAAATTTGAATGCGAAAATGTAACACCTGTAGCACTTTGGGGTATTGGAATACAAGGCAGATTATCATGGTGACTTTCCTAACAGTATTTTTTGAAAGTTGTATCAATTAAGGATTTTTTTGTTGGTTTTTTTTTTTAAGATAACCTTCAAAACACTTTTAAAATCAGGGTCTTGATGCCCAAACCAGACTATTCTTGTGCAGTGAAAGATGTCCAGCCCATGGCAGGGGGGTTGGAACTATGTGATCTTTAAGATCCCTACCAAGCCAAACCCTTCTGTGATTCTATGATATTTTAAAATGGTTTTCCAGTGGAAAAGTACTTTAAAGTTACTGACCCTAAAATATGGGGGCACAGAACAGGGAGACACTGGTCTTCTTTTTTGCCTTCTTGGTAAGGTAAGTGAAGTTCCTAATATGGGAGCATTTATCTGCTAGCCTTATCCTTACCGGGATTGCTTGCACACTTCTCCCTCTGGCATTCTTCATTTGTGGAGCACACACTATTGTCAAGTCCCAGGTTGCTCCCATCAGCAGCGCACACTGCGTTAAGATGTTTCAGCCTTGGAGCTTTGCTGTTGTGAACAGTGTGTATTCTGTGATGCAGCAGCATCAAGAGGAAGTCTCAAAAACGAAATAGTGAAGACAAGCACCACATGGGCCTGAAACAGTGTTGTGTAGCTAGCTAATGAGAACTTGGCATGAGATCGGAAAACACTCTGAAGAGCTGCGTCTGTGAGACAGGGAAGCACTTGTAATGCTTCTTGGATGTTTTCACCTGCCAACTTGGGAGAAGGCCAGAGACTTGTGGTTTTCCCCAGAGAAAGCTCTTTTCAATGCTAGCATAGATTGCAGAGGACATAGTAGGTACTTGAAAGCTTCTTGAAATTTCATTGTCATGTCTTTAATGCTCTGTGAAGCATTAGTAACTACTTCTATTTGTAGTTTTTTGAGTTAAAACTTAAGCTTATGATGACCTATTTTAGAAAGCCCGTTTTTGGTTGCTTCAGTAGATCTGGCACAGGATCATTTGAAACCTAAGCTTTGGTATTACAAATAATTTATCCTGTAGCATTTCTATTAGGAGTTTGTACCTAAAGTCCTTGTAAAACCCGTGAAATGTTCACTGCAGTCTGTTTGTCTTTTACAGGTGGTTTTTCATGGGATGCTGTTCGCTTTTATTTATCTGGCATTACAGAAACGTCAGATGATATCAGAAGGAAAAGGAGATCCTCTTTTCTCCAACAGAGTTTCAAATGTTTTATTATTTATTTCAGTTGTATCCTTTTTGGTATGTACCCAGTATAACTAGTATGATTAGGTTTATAAACCTCTAAACAACAAGTTTTCGAAGTTCTTCTTTAGAAAATACATTGATTTAAAAAGTCAAATCTTGATGTGTATTTTTGCACAGCCTGACCTATTTACTCACTGAAATAGTTTTCCTTTCAGTCAACTGTAGATGAAAACATCATAACTCTTTTCAATTCACTGCAAAGGTTACAAGAAAATTGGTCCATGAAAGTGATATGGTAGATAATGCAGCTCTTACCTCTGCTCTTGATTGCTTGTCTTATTTGTGATAAAAAATTTGTCAACAGTATGCCTGTATCTTAGGGTATGACCAAGTTCAGTATTTGTCACTTGCAAAGAACAATTTGAGAGAAACACAAAATGATTTTTTCTATTAAAATATTTTCTAATATTACTATTTCACTTTTTCCTACTAAGCAAAACATAGTTTTTTATATTACTGTCTCACGTATTAGTGAACCAACTACTTAGGGCTGAAACACTTCAAAATAGCATACCTCTTGTTTAATTTTTAAACATTACATATAATTGCTACACAGACTGATGTTTGTGTCTTTTAGGCCTACTCTATTTGGGCTAGTAGCTGTAAAAACAAGACAGAGTGCAACGAGCTACATCCTTCTGTTTCTGTGGTGCAGGTAATTAAAATTATGGTCCTTTTCCTTACAGTGATAGAATCTACTCTGTTACTGTTTGAGCTCTTTTAGAAATTGTTTTTAAGTATATTTTTGCTTTAGCATGCAATGTCAGCTTCATTCAAATGTCTGAAAGTGAAAAAGGGTTTAACTGTGTTGCTTGCTGGTTTTCATTGCCTCTAAGCACTGAAATCACAGACTGTGATTATGCTTTTGATTAACCATGACGTCCTTAGTGTAGGTTTTATAGGCACTGTTTAAGTCCAGACCAAACTTCTGAGTAATTGCATAGCAGTGGAAAAGTAGACAGCTGTGGAGAAGAAAAAGTGTTTGTGAGGTATTAGTGTAGGAAGCACCTATGGGACTCTTCAGTCACTTTTAGGGAGGGAAGAGGTTGGCCACAGAGGCATGAGTGTGGTTTTCTGAAACTTAGATATTCCTCTTACTGTGTCTCCTGCCCCTCTATACCACAGCTGTCTGGCTCTGTTGCCGCTGTTTCCTTTGCTTAGCAGTGTGTCCTGCCCTCTTGAGGGGGCAGCATGTATGACTTAATTTTTTAATATGAATTTGTCCATCTTGGCACCCTCTCTTTAAAAATTGAGGGTTAAGTCAGATTCGTGACCACCTTAATTTTGGGCTGTCATGGTATGACATGTTTTGTGACCATACCTTGTAGGTGTATAGTGGTACCTATCAACATCAAGACTGTGATTGTACTGAAGATGTAAATATGATTTGCTATGCTATAAGAATGCATGTGTGGGATTTGCAGTTTCAAGACTGACTTTAAGTGTAAACTGCATGGATTTTTGTTTTGTTTATATACTTACCAGATTTTAAAGACAATTTAATGCATGATGCACTTCACTTTACACAGTGAAAAGGAATAAACATTTTGTGTGTGTGTAACCTGCTTGTCATCCACAGTCACTTTTTCTTCTTTTAATTCTTTCAAAATAGATTTTAGCTTTCATCCTCATCAGGAACATTCCTGGCTACATCCGATCTGTGTATAGCTCATTCTTTGCCTGGTTTGGCAAAATTTCTCTAGAGGTGAGTAGAGCAATCAGAACTACGGTGAATTGAAATGTAAGGTGGTTTTATGAATTGTGGTATAACACGTAAATAGTGAAAACATTTATTGCCTTATTTAATACCATGCTGCTGTGTTTGACCTCTTTCAGCATTGTAGCTTCTGTCTACATTTAAAAATCATAGCTGAAATATCTCACAGTAGCAAAGCTATTTCTTATGTTGTTTGTGGGGGGGAGTTTAGAGTTGTGAGAATGGGGATTTAATGCTGGAGTAAGGTGTGGTGGGTATGCAGTTGGTAGATAAAAGTTTAAGCCAGTTGAAGAATCATCATGAATCTGACTAATGCAAGTACACTTACGTATTTGCCCTAGAAAGCTTTCCTGCATTAATAAACAAACGAAACATTACAAGCAAAACCCTTCTTAGTGCAGATGTTATCTTGTTCCATTGAGTGTGTATTCTGAAACAGTAGGAATTACCTTGCTTTCCATTTGATCTGCTGCCTAATAATATTAAATGTTTCATTTTATTATATTTACTAAAATGCATTTTAAAAAGGGAAACAAACTCACAGGACAAACTCATTTTGGTACTATACTTATGCAGTACAACTTTGAATTGTTTTTTAAAGGATGACATTTTCACTGTTGTGATTCCTGGTGACCTTGAAGGTGCTGATCATGACCAACTCTAGGAGCTATTGCATTCATCAGCAGTTGCAGTATTGTCTTCTGTTTGCAAGCATATTAGTTCAGTTCCTTGCCACAGAGCAGCTGAGCAGAGTTGTATTCCCCATCTCTCCTGACGTAGTGTAGATGATGCTGCCCTGTGCTGTATTTGGTTAAGGACTAGGCAAACCCATTTTGCAATGTACTGTGACAGATTAATAGTTTTGTCTTAAGAGCAAAGAAAGGCATGTGGAAAACAGCTTCTCAAAGTATGTTTAATCTGACTTAAGCAGAAGTGTAGTGTGTCAGTTGATGCAACAGTAATAGTCATGGTTTTATGTAAGAAAACATATCTATATAAGCATTATTAAGCGCACTCTCTTTTTCTTTCAGCTTTTCATTTGTCAATACCATATTTGGCTGGCAGCAGACACAAAGGGGATCTTGGTGCTCATTCCTGGATATCCGATGTTTAATGTTCTTGTCAGCACTTTCATCTTTGTGTGTGTGGCACATGAAATTTCTCAGATCACCAATGATCTGGCACAGATTGTGGTTCCTAAAGACAACTCAACTCTGCTGAAGAGGTTGCTGTGTGTAGCTGGATTTTTCTCTGGACTACACCTCTTCTCAGCAATGCAAGATCAGTCAAGACATTGACTTGAACAGATTCTTGGAAACTTTCTTCAGGTTTATTTTGTGTCTGCCTGAACAAAAATTCTCAACTGGAGATACAAGAAGACATTTAAGTGTGTGGAAAACAAATGTATATAGTGCGAATGTACATATTTTGTGTGGAAACAGCCTTCTCAAACGATCTGAGAGCCAAGAATGCACTGTACAGAATTGCATGTGAAAATGAGTCTTTTCTACTGAATATATGTTCCTGTTTACATACATGTTTAAACATGACATGAAGAAGTGAAGTTAAATGGTTGAGCAATACCATGGGCATATCATGGAATTACCTTTAACATGGGTCAGCTGAACAAAGAGTGGATGTTAGTGGAGAACTGCCCTCACGTGACACATGCCGAAATCATTCTCATCAAGGAATAAAGAAGAGCAAACGTGTGATGCTTCGGTAACAGTCACCTTTAGCTGATGTGAAACACGAAGTTACTGGTAAACCAGGGCATTTTTCTGAACGAAATGGTAATGTAGAAATGAGTATCTTGAGTGGAGATAGTGTATATTATGTGAAACCCTTTATACGCAGGAATAAAAAGTCATCACCAATTCAGCAATTTAAGATTATACAGGTTTACATAACAGTTTGTGGGGTTTTCTTTTTGTGTTTTTTTTTTTTTTTTTGAGATGTTTTCAGCAATTACGGTGAATTCTGAGGTGATATTTTTTTTCCCTACAAATTGTTTGCTTTTTCATACGTTTTCCACTAACTCCTTTAACTCTGTGCAATTCTTTGTAAAATCTCAGTGAACAAACAGATAGTTTTCAGAGACTTGGTTCAAGATGGAGAATTTCTTCCAACCTTTTCTGGTCAGAGGGAATGCCGTCGTAACCATTCCATCAGATCTTAAGGGAGAACAGGGGAATGATGATCTTTGAACCTCTGAGTTGTGGGTGACCTCGAATGAGGTCTCATTGGGGAACTGGTGCCATATTTTATCCTGTAATAATATTTTAACTTTCAAGAAGGCAAGTCAGTCTGTTGATATCACAAGGAAGAGGGACTGTGGTCGTCTTGTTGTGTGCAGATGGCTGAGTCTCTGAATTACAAATGAAATGAGATTAGAGATATTTGGAGGAACCTTTTCCCCTACCCATTTTAAGAGTGCCCATCTTTCTTACAGACTCTTTGCTTTATCATAAAAACTAAAACTGAAAGAATGGCCCTTCAGTGTGGCAGTGACAAGCTGCAATTTATGTTCCACTTAGTGAAGTTATGCTCATTTCTTTAGTGTTTGTGGTTTTGGTTCATGTCACAGCTTGACCTCTGGTTGCTTTTTCATTTTATTCTTCTGCTGATCACTTGTTATCAGTCAAAAACACAAACACAATATTATGTTCTAAGCATTTGTGCAATTATGTATGATTATAAACAATATGAACCCTAATTTGTACTATCATAGAACAGGTTTGGGGTGGAAAGGATCACCTAGTTCCAACCCCTGCCACGGGCAGGGACACCTTCCACTAGACCGGGTTGCTCCAAGCCCTGTCCAACCTGGCCTTGAACACTGCCAGGAACAGGGCAGCCACAGCTTCTCTGGGCAACCTGTACCAGTGTTTCACCATGTCACATACATGGCTTTGATCTTATACTCGTTTAAAAACTGAATTCAAACTTGCAGCCACCAATGTGTGTGAAAAATTAAACAACAAAAAAAAATATTGTGATAAGAATGGCTTCAAATTTTTCGGTTGGAAACAGTTTCTTTTAAAAATTGACCAGCTCATCATAAGAAATCATTCACTTCCCCCAGTTTCAGCAGTTTTACTGCCAGCCGTTTTGAAGCTATGGGAAAGAGACTCAGCCATTTGTTCTTTGCATGCATAAATTCCAACACTTGGAAAGTCAACCTACTTAACTGGCTGCAAGAAATGGTGCTGGCAAACGCTGCAGTGGGGGCAGGATGCGTAACCTCCATCTCTGCCAGTATTAGGAGCAACGGGGAAATTGTGAGTTTGAGAGAGACTTTCTGTTTTGTTCTTCACAACCTAAGTATTGTAGATATAATTTTATTTATCTTCTGTACAGACTTGGTTAAAAGATTTATTTTTAATGTTTGAAATAATGCACTTGTTTACTATTACTGTATGTGAGGTAAATATATTTTCTTTTCAGGTCATGTAAAAATATGAAGTAATTTAAACATTAAATAAATGTGCTGTGGATGCTTATTTTTGTAATGGGAACAGCATCAATTAAGTACAAACTCTTCATTGCTTGACTCCAGCTGGGCTACAGTTCACTGTCCTGCCTGCCTTAAATTACAGATTAGTACTGTGGTTTCCCCAGAGTGGTATTTTGGATTCAATTACTTCAACTGAAGGGTAGATACTTGCTTATACCACAGATTACTTCAGAGAACACAGTGCAGGAAGAAAGATTCTCCTGTAGGACATCAGTGTCCCGGGTCTGATGAAGTTCCAGCTCTAGTAGCCAAAACTACCCTGGAGCTCAGAGGACAGTAGCAGAATTCTGGAGTGGAGGGGTCAGGTACTTTTTCGTACTGGGTTACAAGCTGGAAGCTGCTGCAGAGCTCTGCATGAAAGCAGAGGAATGGACTTGGCTTTTCTTCAGTCTGGCAATGTAAAGAAACCCATCCTTAAGATTTATCTTAAAAAAATTTATCTTTTAATTTAGCTACTTGGGTCCCACAGTACATAGAAGGGGCTCCTTAAGCAAAGGATACAGCTCCTTGTATGATCAGGAAAATAACAACTAACATGGGCACCAGAGCCAAGTGGTGCAAATACTCTCTGTGCTTTCAACATCTCCCCAGTTGGCTCTTGGACACTTACCACCACTATCACTGTCCGGGCTTTTAACAACTGTGCCACAAAGTTGTTCAGGCATCATCATGTATAATAATGAGGCAGCAACAACATCACTACTTCATGTTTTTCTATTTATTAGATTTTACATTTCACGTATTTACAAAGACATCTGTAGTGCTTTCTATCTGATTTGGTTGCAACTGTCACTTCATCAACACAATATCAGTTTCATACAGTCATCGTACATCATTAAGAGGATGGGAATGTACTGTTTTAACTATCACCACTTTCAACTGTTACTAATTCTTTAACCATTAAGTGTCTTTAGCCAGCTTTATAAATCTATGCTTCCCTAGTAATTGTTTTAAAAAGTAAAAATAAATATTTTGTTATTAAACTTACCTCAAATAAATGAACCTTTCTATCATGAAATAGTTCAGGTGTGCTTAATACTCAAGTCACCTACACCAGGAGATTCTTTTCAGAACAGGTGGAGCCCCCCCCAGCACATACTGATTCCTCATACATGTACATAACAGCTTCAGAAATTTCCTTAAATATATTGGCACTGTTACATATTAATACAGGTAAGATGGGAGCAGCTTAACTGGTAGGTAATTGATTGTCACATCGGCCTCAAGTTATCAGAAATTGTTATGATCTAGACCCAATACTATTTACAAAGTTTCATCTTACATTGCATTAAAAATCATTATTTAAAATCCATTCCATTCATTTCTGTTGGAAAGCACTGAGCCCATGGTTTGAAAACAGTCATAGAAACTAATCGAACCAAGGGAAAAAACAAATGTTTACTGGACTCGGATTGCTCAGAACAGGGATAAAAGCTGTATATTTGTAATTTCCTATATGTCTCAGTGTGCAGGTCCCCAGTTCACTTTTCACTGATACAAGCTGCTGGAAAGGGCTTTCTTAGGAGGCTGGCTGGCTGACTGATGAAACCCCTTTCCCTGGTCCCTTTTGGATGAGGTAGGTGGGCATGATGCATGCTGCTTTGAAGCCGAGTACGAATGGCTCTTTGTTCCGACTGTTTCAACAACTAACTTGGTTTTCAACTTCTGCAGCTGTAGCTGAGCTACGTCTTCTAGCAGAACAACCACCAGCATTATGCCTGTGGCTAGGGGCATTTGTTAACACATTCTGTAGGTCATGCTTGGCATTTAGGGCAGCCTTGTAAACTCTTGATGTTTAAGGCTTGACAATATACAAGTGCCTACAATGTATGGGGTGCTGACTGTACACCTTGCTGCAAGAGTCATACTCATTGCATAAAATGTGTCTAAAAAGCAGCCCAGGACTTGTTCTAACTATCCACTGAGGTGTTGCAGTCAGGTCTAAGCCTGTTAACACCATTGTTTGCTTAAAAATTGACATAAATAAGTTTTTGTGTTTTGAATAAACAGGGTCATAACCATAAAACATTAAAGAAAAAAAACCAGGGACTACTTTGTAAAAACACCAAACACTTACAATCTTATTTTCCAGTTTCTTTTTAGTCTCAGTCTTAAATTCCTGTGTTACTCCCAATTTATCTTAGCAGAGACCTCAGAAACCTCAGCTAAGGCAATGCAGCCAGCATTTAGCAATTAGAAAGCAGATGCAGCTTTCTGCTTACATGGCAATGTCCTGATGAACATACAGCTTCTGAAAGAGAGAACACTGCAGAGAAAAGGCAAAGTGTGTCAGCTCAAACCAGTACAGTGCTGCTAGTTCAAACCCCAAGTGCTGTTGGTGTGAGCTGGAGACAGTGAAGTCCTGTGTTACATTGTATTTGACGATTTAAAGAAGCATCAGAAAAATAAAATACACAGAAAAGCGTCAGGAGATAAATTATCACCAGCTACTGACAAATGAGGCAACCTCAGTTCAGCTCCTTTTAACAAAGTTGGGATTATTAAGCTTTTGGCTGCACAAACACCTCTCAAAGTCAGCACCTCCAGAAAGGTGTGTGTTTAATCAATTCCTTTTTAAGATGCTAAAAAATAACCCCTGGTTTATTTGATAACTCATTCTCCCACAACTCTGTTTGCTCCAGAAAGAATAAAGAATGTGGAAAATGTTATAAGAAATAAACTGCATCGGGGCATCAGCAACATCACACAGACAAAAATGTAAAGGGTATGTTTAAAGAGTTGAAAGTCCGTAACAAAAGTTTCTCTTGCTTATCTGCAGTCACTAATTTCTGCCTGCAGTAGTTTGTAACAGTCTTTTCTAACATAACCAGATGAATGAATGGACAGATTTTAAATGTTTTATTGCTTTCAAATAGGGTAAAGATCTGGTAAAGGAACAGAAATCCAATTTTCAACAGGAATAGTTTTAGGGTTTTGTTTGGGGTTTTTTGTTAGTTTTTTTTTTTTTTTCCTTCCAAAAATAACTTTGCTCATTAAATTTTGATAATCTCTAGAAAACTAAAGCCTAATAAACCTGGAATACTATTCTGAGCCTCAGGATAACGCACAAGTTTTCATGCTTACACACAAGTGCTTTTTGTGTGCAGACGTAAGGCAGTTGTATCATCCCATCCAACAGAATCCGCAAGCAATCCTTCAGACCTGGTGCTTATTTTGAAGCTTTGCTTTCCCTGTTAAATCTTTCAGGAGAGCTCACAAGACAGAATAAAGTCTGATATTTATTAATACATATATTTGAAAGATTCTTTTCTGAGTGTAACAAATATAAAAAGTTATCAGTGTTTACAAATTGTCAAAAACGTCCAAAGTACAAAAGGATACAGTACATTAGTTGCGTGGAAGTGATTGTACTCTCTGGCACTG